GAGGATGGCCGCCCTGCCGTCGCCGAGCGCAGCAGAACGGCTCTCCGCCTCTCTCGTCCCGGTCTCATTCAGGCAAGCTGCCGGGCGACGGAGAGCTGAGCAGGGAGGGGAGGGGAGGCGACGCGACGGGACGGGACGGGACCCTCGCCCGCTCGGGCCGACGCCGAGAGCTCTGCCCCACCTTCGGCTCCTGAGCGTCAGAGGGAGCAGGAGGGCCCCAATTCTCGCAGTGGGGCACGCCAGGAGGAGGAGTCTCTCTTCCAGGACAATGAAAAGGGCAGCTCCTTGGGGAACCTCCTGGCGGAGATGCCTCCCTTTCGGAGGAACAGGCAGCAGCAGAAGGCAAAACCAGAGGAGGCACCAATGCCATTCACGCCGGAACCCGAACCCGAACCCTTCCTGGCCTTGCTTAGCAAACCGCTGGCCCTCCGCTCCGCTCCCCCTTTTCGTTGCTTCTCTTTGGGTGCTCCTGCCCAAGCAACTGGCGGCCAGCTGGCCCAGACCCGCCCCGGCTAGAAAAAGGCGATGAAGCCCCTTCGAGGCCCTTAGACACGCGCAGCTCCCAAAATGAGAGCCCCACCCGAGGCTCGGAGGAGCAGAATGGCCCCTGCCCCGCGGCCGGGCCCTCCGAAGGACACGAGGGGTGTGGAACAAAGCGCCCGCTCGCTGGAGGGCTTCAGGGAAGAGGCGCCGGGCCGGGCAAAGGCAGCCGCCGGCTTCTTCCAGACGCGCGTGTCAGCAGCGCTGCGGAACACACAGATGTCGCTGTTGCTCTTCTGAAGCCTCGCACAAAGCCTCCATAAGCCACAGCTGTAGAAAAGGGAAGCGGAGAGGCAGTCTGACCACAGGAATGTGGGCATGCGTTATCTTTCTTCCCCCAAAATGGGCGGGGGAAGGGCTGGCAACCCGTAAGTCACGTGGGGAGGGCCAACTCTCCCGGCGAAGCAGATTCTCTCGCGCGCTGGAGCGGAAGCCAAAGCACCGCGACAGTTCCCGGCTGGCCTTTGCAAGTGCTATTCCCAGAGGAAGGCCAGCTTGCGGGGGGGTGGGGGATCAAATGCTATCACCTGCAGCGCCGCTCCCCCCCAAGCACTGCAAAGGCCAGAAAGGTTTGGTTTCCATGCAGACACTAAAAGATCGGGGATGGTCACAAAAACAGGAGCAGCCTTGGTGGATAGGGGACTGGCCCGGGCCCACAAGAAATTGGGGAGTCAGAGCTCCTCCAAGGAAGACTGAAAACTTCTCCCTCTTAGCAGTTCTCAAGAGTTCTGCTTTGCTTTTTCTGCAGTTGCTAGGCTTGTCTGGAATCAGACTCAGGGCCCTTTACCCTTGCAGCAAGAATCAAGACGACAGTCCAACAAACCGAACACTGAAGAGCAAATCCCCAATTCTCCCACCTTGGGAATGGAGTTGCAGCTTGTCCACCACAAAGGAGGCAGGGTTACTAACCCACAATGCAGTTTAAAACAGAAACAAATGTAATATAATAGCAAAGCCTATGACAAAAACCTTCAGGAAGAAAATGTAAAGTCTCCTTCACCTCGAGCTCGAGTCCTCCTGGACACGGGATCCATTCAACACACCAGAAGTGATTTGCCACTGCAGTCTTCTTGGATACATCATCAACTTCCCAAACTACTGTAGCCCAAAGCCTGATGTCTGCCAGTAGTTTTCCAGCCAAGCATTAGCCAGAGCTGACCCTGCTTAGCTTTTCAAACTCAGCTCAGGAGGAGGGTTCAGAAAGAGCAAGTGGGTGAAATGGAAGGAAGCTGCCTGGCACGGTGTTACTCCAACAGTTCTAAAGGGCGAAATGGTCAAAGTAAGAAGTCCTGCATCTGAAGGGACCAAACTGCAGCCTTAGTACTCAGCCTTCTGGTCCCTGAAATAGCCCAAAGCCACCCAAATTTTAGATGCAATCCATTTCCAGCCAATTTGGAGGCAAATGGGAACTGGGCTCAGCCACTGGCAGGCAGGCAGACGGGCAGGCAGGCACTCTCTTTTTGGCTTCTTGGCAACATCAGAAGAAAAACAGCTTGTGGCTAGGCATAAGAACTGCCCCAGGAGGCTCAAGCTGAATGGCTGATTCCCGCCCCACTTCTCCCCATTTCTTGGAGTCAGGTGGAAAACCATGTAACTGGTAGCTGAAAATGCATGGCTTGATACCTAGCATGCCCTTTCCAGATGCGGAGCATACATTTATTTATTTATTATTTTATTTATTAATTAAATTTGTATGCCACCCATCTCCCCCAGAGGGTGAGTCTAACAATTATCTCTTTACTGCACAGACTAGATGATCATATCACAATTTCTGAGCCAGATTTATCCATGTAAAGACATGGGTGAATGTAAGGATTAATCTGGTTCAGTTCATGGCAACATCTCCAATTCCTGTGAAAAGATGCTCTACGAGACACTTATTTATTATTTTCATATCTTTATAATATTAAGGGAGACAGAGAATCCTTTACAGCTTCTACTGTAAAAATAACAGTCTGTTTAGTTTAAGCAGAGAGAGAAAGATAGAATGAAGGTCCCACATCTGTTCAGTTATAACAGAAACTATGCTAGATCATGACCAAAGATTTATCTAGTCCAGCATCTTTTTTTCTCACCGTGGCCAAAAGGGGTTCAAGTGGGAAGCTCGTAAGCACAAGGTAAGCAGAATTCGCCTCCCCTTGTGTTGCCCAGTGACTGGTAAGGCAACCCAGCCAAACCTCCACCCTGGCACTGAAGGACACAGAGAGCCAGCGCCACCAATTGTCCTTTAACCTTACAGTCAACAAAGGTGTCTCAAGTATCAGGACCTTGTTGGTCTTATCTGACCTTGGAAGCTAAACGCGCTCAGGCTTGACTGACATCTTGGATGGAAGACCACTCAGAAGTTTCAGGGCTATAGATTACATTGGGAAAATAAAACAAAACACACATTACAGAAAAAGGCAATGGCAAACCACTTCTACTACTGTTCAGAACACTGCATGGGTGCCTCTATAGAGTCTTCAAGAATCAATATCAGCTTGAGGGTGACTTTAACCTGGGTGCAATCACCACAATCCTTGGCAGCAAATCCCATCTTGGTATGACTCTTCTGTCTATTCTGAATTACTAACTGTGGAGTCCTTGGAGCTCTCTGAGCTTGGTTGTTTGCTTGCAGACGTTTCATGACCTGACTAGGTAACATCTTCAGTGCGAGGGAGAGTGAGGTGTTGGCTGCTGGAGGGAATGTGGTCTGGTCTTTTTGCTTCCTTCTTAGCTTTTTTATCGTCTCTTTTGAATGGTGTGTAAATGTGGTTTATCTCTATGTGTCTACTGATGGCTGTTTGTCTGAATGCCAAGCTTCCAGGAATTTCCTAGTGAATCTGTCTACCACCACCCCAAACATATCCAACAAGAGCCCCAACCAACCCATGCTTGGGAGAATATTGCAACTTTGACCAAACTTGGAAGCCCAGACTGTCTAACCTGCCTCACTGAGGCTTGTTCGAACACCTTGACTGTCCTTTCATACTCAGTGTTACCCTTTATGTAACACTGCAGGAACCAAAAGTGGGATCCTATCTTGGAACACAGACTCCTAGAACTGTCCAACCCCAGCTGACTGATTTGGGCTTTCAAAACTCAAGTCTCTTCACCAGATGTTCTGACGACATAGCTTAGAATTCAACACACACCTACTTTTCATTTCATCTTCTTTCAGGCCTGGGGTACAGGGGACAGGATGATCTGACAAACACAAGAGCCATTCCTCCCCCAGTGCTGATCAAAGACAATCCTACATGATTTAGAAACAGGCACAACTTTTGGGCTTTGGCCTCAGCCCAAAGGAAAAGCTGCCACAGAGGACTGCAGTTCCTCTTCCAGGACAGGAAAATAAAAGGACACCACAGCGGACAATACAGTACACACAGAAAGTCCTGCTGTCAAGAGGAACAGATCCAGCATAACGCTGGGTCTATGCCAAGACTATTCTTTGTCATGCTGCAAGCCCCCCCCCCCCCCAAAACCCTTGAGCTTCTCAGCCAGAGATTCAGAACGGAGAACACAAGTGCTAAGAGAAAGACTACATCTGCAAGGGCCTCTGACCCAGGTGAGCTACTGCAGGAGGCCTCCTAACACTGGCCCTTATGACTGAGGCTCCAGCTTTGTCCACGCCCATCTGTGGCCAAACGTGCTGGGTGAAAAAGTGCAATGGACGCCACTTTTTCAGAAACAATTACACCATGGGGCAACAGTCACCAAGGACATTGCACTATTTCTGACCCTGCTGACCCTCCTTGCAGTCCTTTCAGAGAGAGAGATCCAGAATACACCAAAAAGCCTTTGCGTGATCACACGCACCCTGGTGCCATCCCAGATGCCCAGTATTCCTATCCCTTGACAGCTTCAACATCCAAATGAGCACACCATAGCTGAGTTGTCAAAGGAAAGCTTATCTTACCTTTCCATCAAACAAGCTCAAGATATTCCCTGCCCCCTTTTCCCCCTTTGCAACACAGGTGGGCTGAGAGAGACAGAAAGCACAACCCCAAGTCCTGTGACTGAATGGAGACCTGAACCCAGCCGTCTCTAGTCCTAGTCCGGCACTCTGACCACAACTGCACCCTGACCCAGGAAGCCTCAGAGACCTGGCATGCGCACAGGGCGGGGGAACACCCAACACTGCCCCCACGTGAAGAAGGCAGAGCTGCCTGCCTGGAGGGCTCCAGATCCTTTTGGCATGTGTTAAACTGCTGATTCCAGCTGGTCATTTCTTTTGCCGCTCAGCTTAAAAATCACCCTGACAAAACTGCCACCCAGGGAGACACTCCTGAAAGCAATGCCCAACGAGCGAGGAGCCCCCACGTCTTGCAGCGCCGCCTTTGCCTCCCCCGTTTACTGGGCAGGCCAAGCCCACCCCTCTTTATCATGCTTCTGAGATCTGCCCGGAGACCACAGGCAGAGGGGCCTTCTCAGCCAACCTCTCCGATTCAGGTCCTGGGAGGTCAGCAAAGCCCTGCGCGCGCAAGCAGCTATTTACTCCCTAACAGTTCGGCTTCAGCGCCGTTTAGCATTTTTATTGGAATGCGAAAGCTCTTAAAAGAAAGGGGGAGGGAATCTAATCAGGCAGAAGAGATAGAAAACTTGCTGATTTTTTGTTCCTCCCCCCATCCTATCAAAAGCACATCTTCTCTTCCTTCCCCGTGTCATTATGACAAGCAGCTACAAATCAATGGCAGGAGGCCAGCAACACCGGTGATGCAGACTCCCTCTCAGCTCTGCTTTGCTAATAGCACATAACAGCAGTCGCTGGTGCCCCACATTAAATCATACACTTCGCTCAGTGTATATTACGGGATTTTTAAAACTCACCAAATTGGATTTTCTCAATGGTCTCCAATTTCAACATTTCTCATTTGAAATTAAGCTCCTCTGTGGAGATGAGGAATAAAAAAGGAGGGACGACAACAGAAAGGTAGATGAGAAAAGTTCTGCATTTTTCCTTTTTTAAGTGAAAATCCATCAGTAATCCAAATACCACATCACATTTTATGCAAGTTAAAACGTTAGGATCTGGGATGAAATTGCTTTGTCGTGAAGCCATTACAGCACTTGCACCTCAGCCACGATGCCCATTCTCCCCCTCAGGCCTTTGAAGCCCCCCCCCACCAGGTCAGGGAACAGGGTTTTTTTTAATGCTCTCATCAGATTTTCAGATGGGTTTATACTGTTTTTGTTACAGATTTTCTTGTTAGCGATTTCATGCCTACTTCGTGGAAAGGAGAGAAGTAAAGACTTGAGGCTCCAGGAGAATCAGCCGAGCTCCCCGC